CACACACACACACACACACACACACACACACACACACACACACACACGCTGTCCTGTCTTCTTCATCCCCCATATTAAATTCCTTCCAAGTAAGTCTTCCTCTTACTTTCACATATTTTTTGTTTCTGTTGTGTATTGTTCCCCCCACCCCTTTGGGATGTTTGGTTTTTGGCTTGGTTCGTTTTTTGTGGGGAAGGGGATTAAGCTGAGCAACAGCAGCCTATCAGTAGCTGATCAACAAGTATCATTAACTGCCTGTACCTCATCAGAGGGGTGAGGCCTTACGAGCCCCTCCCCCATTTATGGAATGTCGAGGGGCCCAATTCTGTGCAGGTAATCACCACTACTGTTAGTTCATGGATATGACAGCCATGTCCTGCCTAGAAGGCTGTTTCATAGCCTCATTACCCATCCCTCTGCTCTTACATTCCGCTCCTGTCCCTCACAGTGCTCCTTGAATCGTGGGGTGGGGGGAGGGAGGTAAGACAGACGTGCTTGGGGCCAAGCACTCTATAGTCACTTATTCTCAGCACTTGGACATCGCCCGTTGCAAACAGGAGCTTCTAACCAGACCTAGAGCAGCACTGATCCGCTGGCACACACACACATATTTAGGAAGCAGCTTCCTAAATTGGTTTCCCTTTCCCAAACCAATAAGAGTAGGTTCCCTCTTAGGGCCCATGGGTTCCCAGCTTTTGACTTGGTTTACAGTGCCAGGTATGAATTTCTTCTCTGAAGTGGGCTCAAGGCCAAGCGGAAAGTATTTGGGCACTCCCATAACAGCTGCGTCACTATTACATCACTGGGCGTAGATTTCAGGATAGCTTTCCTGTTGTAAGCTTTCAACATGAAGCTGAGGAACAGAGATCAGTGCTAAAGTCAATCTATATAAAGTTTACATATACTTAGGCTTCATTTTGTCTTTTCTTAAAAAATACAAAGTTTGATTAACACAAAGTTTCGCAACAGAACCTCACATAATAACATGATTGTGACCGTTTCTTGCTTTTATTTCATGCTTTGAAGACATGTTTATGCAACTGAAACCATAGAGAAGAGACTTCGGCCCTCTTATTAGTGTGACCTTTTCTCAGTTGCGGTCTTCAGGGCTGTCACGACACAACACACCACACTGTTAGACAGTAAATCAATAGTGTCAATTGAATTAATAGAATATGGCCAAGTCTGAGTTTACTCAAGACTCTCTTGGAGATAGCTTTATGTTTACCTGGTGTCCCTCTCGTCCAATCAGTAAAGGCCACATTTCATAAGATAATCTGTGGTCAAAAGGAGAAACAGGGCAGGGCAGGGCTGGATTTGCCTTCTCCTCCAGACGGCAACTATGTTGGTCCTCCAGAAGAATCATGAGGCTTTTAGTGCTCTGCTTGGTGGATAATGTCCAATCCAGGAAAACTTCTCCAGTTACAGATGAACTCGAAAGGCCTGACTAGGGTGAGTTTCTGTGTTGGTTTGTATCTTACATGGCAATTACTTCAGCCTTGGCTGTTCATTAGCTTTACATGGAGGTACCTTACACTCTCTTTATGTCCGGGTTGTACCCTAAACCCTTAAAACGATAATTTGTGTGATGGAGAATTTATCTGATGGATGCCAGATATCAGCAGTTGGTAAAGTGTCCTAGGGAATCCCAGGGTAAAGTTGCTGTGTTTTTTACTCATCAGGAGTTCTCTAGGACTGGCCATCCCATCCTGAGTGGTTGTGCGAAGGCGGAGGGAGCACTGGGTTCTGGTGACAGCACATGGGACTCTCCTTGAGAACCTCCCTATGAATCTGAGAGCTCCTTGTTTCATCTGCTCACGATTTTCCCTCAGACCAAATAGGACTGTAAGAAACAGAGGTGAGGTTTCTAATTCTGCATTCCATTCACATTTGGAGCTAGAATTCTTCTATTAAAAAAAGAGAAATTCTTATCACCTCAGTCTATTAAGTCACTCAGCAGTGCACAGTCCAGGCAAGGCAGGATAGATGCCTAATCTCTCTTCAGGAGTTATTTTACCCAAGAATGATTCTATCTTCTTTTCTGAAACCACTGAAGGAGATGGCTGCAGAGGTTAACTTTCACCGACGTACACAAGGAGTTAGAAGTTCGGTTACATTATGGGGTTAGGTCTCAGAAAGCATACTGGAGTCCAGAGAATGTGCTGTTAATTATCAAGAAAAGAGGAAGTACTGAGTGGTCAAGGGCCCAGCTGAGATTACGTGTGACTTTGTTTTAGAGCCAAGGACGGCAGACTTTTGCACCAGTCAGTATTCCAAAAGAGAACAGGTTTTTCCCAGTCTGGCTGGCAATGGGGTTTGCCCAGTAGGTACTGAAGGACAGGTGGCCGAGGAATTGAAGCCCATGATGGTTTCAGAGCACCGATCCCTCTGCTGTGTGCATGGCTCCTCTGTTCCTAGACAACCCTTCCTCATCATTCAAGTCGTGAGCTTGGCATCACGAACCCCCAGAGCCACCCAACTTTCCGGGCTTGCATGAGCAGCCCTTTTTTGATGCTCACAGGGCCCAGTTGGCCCAGGTGCTGCCTCACCTCAAGTTCATGGCAGCAGCACTTCAGCTGTTCTTTTAGTTGTGTCTCGTATTAGATTATAACTTCTGCCTGAAGCAGGTGGAAGTCACTGAGGGACAGTGAAGGCTGTCTTAGCTACTTTTGTCTGGCTGGGATAAGACACCATGACCAAGGCAACTTACTAGAGGCAGCATTTAATTTGGGCTCAGGTTCCAGAGGGTTACGGTTCACCGTGGCGGAGCGAAAGCACGGTGGCAGGAACAGCTGAGCACTTACCATTTGATCCACAGCCATGAGCTAGGTGGAATGGAGAAGGGCCTGTGAATGATGCCAGTGAATGATGCCAGTCTTCTGAAACCTCAGAGATTGCTCCCTGTAACCTACATCCTTCAACAAGCCTACACTTTTCGATCTTTCTCAACAGTTCCACCAACTGTGGACCAAGTATTCAAACATTTAAGGGGCTTTGGAGAAAGCCACATTCAAACCACTATAGGGGCTTTGGAGAAACAGCCAAGGAAATAGAAGGGACTGCTTGTTGAACATCACTGAAAACACTGCTATTGAGCTTGGGAACACACACTCAAACTTCACACACTCAAACTCATGCCTTCAAGCTTTTAAACTTGGGTCAGATTGTGTCAGTTTTGTGTACAATCTCCTTCGGGGGTTCCCCATACATCTAGAATAAGTCCCCAGGTGCTTGCCATGGCCTATGAGTATCTACATCATGTTGCAAGCGCTGCCCTGGTTTACCGTACTGCTGACCAGTGGCTTCTTGTCCGTCTTCATCCTCCATGGGAGCCCACTGCAGAGCCTTGGTACGACTGACCCCTCAGCCTAGAGCCCTCTTTCCTAGGTAGCAGCCCATTTTTCTCCTTCTCCTCATCAAGTCTCTGCCCCAATATCATATTCTTGGCAAAGCCTTCCCTGGTAAGATCATTCTCCCTTTCCTCCCTCTTTTCTCTTCCTGGCACCAACCATCAGAGTGGCTCTATTTTGTCTTTTCAGTTATTTCTTCCTGTTCCCTGGCCTGGCATTACTTAGCGATTTCCTCTGAGTGGAAATATTCTGTCCTGCAGGGACGTGCAGTAAGTAAGATGCAGGAAGTAAACAACTCAGAAGATTCTGGAAGTCCCTGAAACTGATCAGATGCATTACCGGTTTCTCTCTCCAAATTTATGTAAGCAGTAAAGACATTTGAGATACTCTCAGACAAGACAAGCTTTTAGAAGAGACGGAGACCAGGCCAGCTGCCTGCAAGAAATTCAGACCACTTGAGCTACCTAAAAGGTTGTTGTCACAACAACAAGACACAAGCTAGAGTCATCTGTAAGGTTGACTTAACTGAGGTTCTCAATTAAGAAAATGCCTCCATAAGACCTGGCTGTAGAGGTGGCTCAGAGGTCAAGAACACTGGCTGTTTTTCCAGGGGTCCTGAGTTGAATTCCCAGAAACTACATGGTGGCTCATAACTATCTATAATGAGAACTGGTGCCTTCTCCTGGCGTGCAGGCAAACATGCAGGCAGAATAGTGTATACGTAATAAATAAATAAATCTAAAAAAAATAATCTGGCTGTAGGAAAGCCTGTAGGAATTTTTTTTTATTATTAATTAACAATTGATGTGGAAAGACCCAACACATTGTGGGTGGTGCCGTCTCTGAACTCTTGATCCTATTCTATAAAAAAGCATGCTGAGCAAGCCATGAGAAGCAAGTCAGTAAGCAGCACCTCTCCATGGCCTCTGCGCCAACTCCTGCCTCCAAGTTCCTGCTCTGTTTGCATTTCTGCCCTGACTTCCTTCAGTGATGGACTGTTATCTAGAAGAGTGTAACCTGAAGTAAGCCCTTTCCTCTGCAGGTTGGTCATGGCGTTCCATCGTAGCAATAGTAACCCTAACTAGGATGGTTGTACAGCGTGCTACAGATTTCTGGCTTTCATGAGCTGCCACCCATGTTGGGTGGGAATCTGCTGCTGATACAGAATCTCACAGGTGTCTTTGAGTCACTTATTCTTCCTCACCCACACTCCTGTAAGTAACACCAATAAAATTCAGTGGCTCACCAAGTTGGACTTTGGTGACATCTTTACTCTGGTGTGTGATCAGTGCCCTATCTGTAAATATTTATCCACCTCTCCCCAGAGAAAGGATCGCACAATGCCTGTATAGAAGTGAGGTGGTGGTCTGAAAGAGAAATGTCCTCAATGGACTCATTCATTTGAATTCTTGGTTCTCAGTTGATGGTACGATTTGGAGACTTAATGGGGAAGTCCAGCCTTGCTGGAAAAACTATTGTCACAAGGGTCAGGCTTTGAGAGGTTAAAGACTTCCATCTCACTTTCTCTCTCTGCTTTCTGTTTGCAGATAAGGATGTGAGCTCTCAGCTTCAGGATCCTGACACCATGCCTGCCTCTTGCTACCATGCTTCCCTGCCTTGATGAACTCTTACTCCTCTGGAACCGCCAGTCAAATAAACCGTTCTAGAAACCGCTTTGCTTACATGGTTTTGTCATAGCGGCAGAGCAGTAACTAATAACACTTGTCGTGATGTTGAAGAGTTTCTCTTGCATTTATTGTTGCTCCCCTGTGCTTTCAGCACCGGGAACCGTGCCCAGTCCACTGCAGCCACCAAACATATGTGCTGTATATATACATGCCTCGTACCTTTGAAACTCACAGAAAGACTGACTCGGAAATGGGACGTTTGCCTGTCCTCTACCTATGCCACCGTTTGAGTCCCATAGGATGAAGCAGTACAGGTCCCGTCATGAACAGGGCTAGGGACAGGAGTCATGAAGATGCCCAGGAGCCGTGGGAATGTACACCGTGACATCAGACATGGGGGTTTCCATTCAGCAGTTTGTCCCATAATCCTGTGGATGGGCTACTGGGCCAGGCACGGATGCCTGCAGCACTCTAGATAGAAGTCCTCTGAGAAAGTAACATGTGAAATGAGGCATGACTTGTGGGAGAATGGCAGATGAAGAAACTCAGCTTCTGTCTCTGCCACTAAAGAACCTAGCGCTATCAGGTGAGTGATTTCCCCTGCTCTCTGTGTCATTTCAGAAGATGGTGAGGACAGATAAGTATGCACACACATCCACAATTCTAAGAGCCGTTATTGGAGAATACTCAGTGCTCTCTGAACGATGATTGATGATGACTGGTGTTTACGTCGGGGATAACATATACATGTTGACAGCGGGGACATAAAACAAGAAGGAGACTTCGTTGTCTGGGATGTGACGTAGGCATGCGAGGCTCCCAGACTGAAGAGGTGAAACACGAGAGATGTGTAGCTTCGCTACCTGGAGGAAGTGGGGCCTAGTTCAAGTGTTGAAGGGCTTCCTGAATTCATGGGCACACGTGGAATGCTAGTTTGGAGGAGACACGGGGATAAAGGTTCACATGTAGAACCAGAGGAGAAGATAAGTCTTAGTGAGGGGCCTTGAGGAGTCTTCTCATTCCTGGAGATCCAATGACAGCTTTATGGACTGTCCAGACAAATGGCCACAGCATGGCCCTGTGTCACTAGTATAAGCCGGAGCCTTCTGCAGGCTGACTGCATTTTTTTTTTTTAAAGACATACCATTTTCTGGAGGTGCAAAGGACATGGATTTTGTTCTGTGGACTGCGGGAGTCGCCTAGGAGTGCATCTGGAGATGCTAGTTCCCTCTCCTCAGCCTTCTGTGTCACTCAGTGCTTATCTGGGGTTGACCACTGCCTCAGGACACCCCTCTGAAAATGTTCCATGCTGAGTCCCGGTGAGTGAAGAGTCCCAGGACTCCCGAGTCCGTAACAAACTCCCAAAGGAGATTTTGTAAGCCCTTAAAGAGTGGAAGGAAACTGCCTGCCTCTTCTCACTTTGGGGTAGGATTTTAGAGACAGGTGTGTAAGTGTTCTCATCTTTGATTATGTTTCTTCTGTGACCGTGGGCAGTTTTTCCTGACTCCTCAGTTTAGATTCTCAATGGAGCACGAGGTGCTGGACCCTCTTGTTGGAGGATGGAGTGAGATGTCACAATACCTAGATGAATATCCACGGAAGTGATACTCAGCAGCTCTGGGTCTGGCCTTCCCAGTAGCTACGGAGCATGGAGGACACAAAATCTTATCTGCTATATCTTCTCTACCCTCAAAACGTCATCCCCTCCCCTTCTCTGAACCTCTCCATGGCATCTGTAAGAAGAAATACTTGAACTTGGTTGTCTCACAGCACTCGGTCATCTCCCAGGACTGATAATCCCAAAATCCCACAGCTGATAACAAACTTTCCTTGAGGAAACATGGGGATGAGCTTGTGCTCAACTCATTGGAGCTGAATGGGTTCTAAATGGAGGATGACTGAGTAATGGCCCCTAGCAGGTACTAAATGAACCTGGGCTGTTGGTTTCAAAGGTCAGACGATATGATTGATGTTTGGAGCACAGGTGGGGGAGGTAGAAGAGCAAGCAGCATAGATGGCCCCTTCCAGCTTGCAGTCAGACTTTGCCAGCTCCGTTGAAGACAGTGGGAAGGACATTAGCTTTGTTTTGTAGTAGACAATTTGTAGCTGTCCAGGAGCAAGGAGGAAGGTCCCCATCTTAGAGCTGCAAGATTCCAGCTTATTTCAGGCCCAAGCAAACTCAGCCCCCTCCAAGACACAGCGAAACCAGGCTTTCTTGAGGAGGCGAACGATATAAACGCTTGCTTTGGGGCTGGGAATCTTCCCTGATGCTCTCTCTTCCTGTCCATAGAACTCAGGTTAAGTTATTTAACTTTTCAGAACCCCTGCCTTCCTCACCTGTAAAGCCAGGGTGCTGACTGTGCACCTCATGGAGTTCTGATGGAGTTGAAGCGGCATCTGCAAAAGCTGGTCTAGGCCCTGTCTCATCTGATTGCCTCTTCTCTGTGTTGCCATGGCAGTCGCTCAGTGCTATGGTGGAGTTGAGGACTGTTCAGGGGTCTCCCGACACTTGCCGTTGAGTTCCGCACTCCTAAGGACCAGCGACTGCTTCAAATCCTGTTAATCCCCTAGCGTGCCTGGCACGGAGTAGGTGTACAATTAAAGCATTCTGAATTAAAAGGAGTATGGACTCCAAGAGAAGAAACAGCATGTTTCCTTGCCAGCCTCTCTCAGCAGCCTAGCTTCCTGGCTCCTGCCAGTCACCCGGATGCCAGAGAGTGGGTGTGAATGCAAGCCCTGGCCCTTGGGGACTGAATACGCCTTGTGGAATCACGGACAGAGCTGGCCACAGGGTGGAAGGCATCCTGGCATGATCCGTGCACGGGGCTCGTTTCTCTGTCTCTTTGGTGGTAGCTCTCAAGGTCAAACAATCCAGCCTGCCAGACCCCACTTAGGCCGAAGTGGCTGTTCTCATCGTCTATAATGGAAGCCTCCAGCGGAACATCACAGTTAATTGCAAGGAAGGGTGAGTCACACGAAGCATCCAGAAAGGAGCTGGCACTCATCATGAAAGGACAAAAAGACCAGCCAGAAAGCTGCAAGGCCCAACTCTGGTATCCAGGGAACTGCGGGGTGCGGAGGGAGGAGGGCAGCAAGCGATGCACCCACTCTGCCCGCTAATGAGCCAGGAATCATGTGTGTAGGCGATCAGTTCACAGATGCTGTATTTTGCCTTCTGAGAGTTTTAAAAACATGAAACACAGACAAATACAGCCGGTATCTGTATAAGCGATTATGGCATTCTTACGGTGGTTCAAAGGAGCCCCCGACTAGTCTGTGAAAGCGGAGACTTCGGGGTATTATTCGATACTCAAGGTCATTGTGGTGGCCCCATGAAGCGAAAGCCATCTGTGCCGAAGCCTACGTCAGGTCCCGTTTCCCAACCTGTATGGGAATTGCTTCTAGCATCACTGACACCTGTCAGACACCCCCAGGCCCACCTCTTTCAGCATTTCCGCTGCCTCACAAGCAGAACCATAGCTAACAGCCAGCACCTACACAGAAGGTATATGTGTCCATCGGACTCTGCTCAGTGCCTGTTACAAGCGTGAGCTCATTGGTCCTTATGAATCCTGGGAGGTTGGAGTTCTCTTCTCGTTCCTTCCGAAGGTAGGCAGAGGCTCTGTGTCTTGCCACGGTGTGACAACTGACCCTTCCAAAGCCAGGCTCTTGTCCTTTCTCTCCTCTGCCTCCTATAGGTAACCCGTGTTGTGCTGCTTTTCTCGGTTGAGAAGATTTAGCCCATTCTGAGCCAAAGCTGCTACTCTGAAGCTTCTAACCATTGATTTTAGTCATGTGCCTGAGGCAACAATGTTCCTGTCCCCATCAGATGTGACAAAGATGGCTCTCCACTCCCGCCTTCCACTCCACAGGAATCTTCTTTCTTGGGTCCTGATTTTCCTCTATCTTTTGATGTTGTGTCTCAGGTGGAGGGTGGGCAGAAAAAGGATTAATATTCTAGACGCCATTAGGATGAATCCCTAGCTTGAATGAACTCATTGGAAGTCACACCCACTTGTTAGTTCTTAGGTCACTTAAACTCTCTGGTCATCTCCAACTGCACATGGCAAGTCTCAGATACCCCACCTGTATTTGTGTATTCAGCTGTAGGCAAGGGGTGCCTGCCCGCAACATCTCAGCTCCTTTTCTTCACCAGCCTCAGTTCATCTCTTGAGCTTCCATACCACCTGTCCTGGTCCTCCTGTTGTTCTGGCTTCCTCACAGATGAGGCTGAATGAGAACAGAGACAACCTGGCCAAGAGCCGTGGTGCGGTGGCAAAAGCAATGAAGCCCCCCCAGCCCCCCAGCTAACGGCTGAGCCTGTTGCAGCCGATGTGAAGGCGCCACTCATGGGAGTGATGAGGATGGAGTGGGAGCTGTCTGACTCAGCGTCTCGGCTCTTATGCGAATGTGGTTCATTGCATCATCTCTTCCTTCAGCCAATTACTAAGCAGCAACATTATTTTCTCGAGGGAAAATAAAAGGAGACAGAAGAAAAAGTCTTTGACTTCTTGATGGCTTATCTTCTAGTTTATTTTTAGAAAATCAAAGTAATTCCAGAGAAGCAAATCATCTTTGTTGTTTGGACAAGTCTTTTAAGATGATCTAAGAAAAACCGAGAATGTATTAGGGAGTTTCTAGGGAATTCATGGAAAGGATAGAAATCTAGATGAGAGCTTGGATACAGGCTAGAAACCAGGACAGGAAATACTGATGGGAGGTTGCTTCTATTTTGACATCTCTGTGTTACTGCGCTTAACATACGAATCCTGGAAGAGGGTCTGTTTTGTTGGCGTAGATCACCCACTCATCTCTCTGCCTATAATTGGGTGTCAGAGTAAGAACCTGGTAAAGGGAGTGTCCAGAAATTCTTCAGCTTCCATATTTAGGGTCAAGACACACCGATTCTACTATACCCCAGTCTACACACAATGGGGGAACTGGCAGGGAGAGTGGTGGTGCTCGCCTTGAACCCTAGCTCTCGAGGAGGCAGAGGCAGGCAGATTGCTGTGAATTGGAGGCCAGCCTGGTGTACAAAGGGAGT